ATTCATTATTTATTTTGAACTCTTTCCAAAATGAAGCAAGTGATACTATACTGCATTTTCAAAATTAATCTTCAGTCTTTATCAGTAGCCAGTTCCAACAAATTTGTCCTGTAAAGTTAGAATTGAATTTGAATTATCTTTTTTTCTTTTTTTTTGAGACAGAGTTTTGCTCTTGTCACCCAGGCTGGAGTGCAATGGTGCGATCTTGGCTCACCGCAACCTCCGCCTCCTGGGTTCAGGTAATTCTCCTGCCTCAGCCTCCCGAGTAGCTGGGATTACAGGCATGTGCCACCATGCCCAGCTAATTTTTTGTATTTTTAGTAGAGATGGGGTTTCACCATGTTGACCAGGATGGTCTCGATCTCTTGACTTCGTGATCCACCCGCCTCGGCCTCCCAAAGTGCTGGGATTACAGGCTTGAGCCACCACGCCCGGCCTTGAATTATCTTTTGATGAAAGAAATTATTCCTGATCTATGACTTTCTTCTGAGAAGTTCTTTTGATGACAAATTAAATTCAGGCTAGGCACAATGGCTTATGCCTGTGATACCAGAACTTTGGGAAGCCAAAGCAGGAAGATCACTTAAAGCCAGGAGTTCAAGACCAGTCTGGGCAACATAGTGAGACCCCCATTTCCACAAAAATAAAAAACTATCAGGTGTGGTGGTGCAGGCCTATAGTCCCAGCTACTCAAAAGGCTGAGGCAGGAGGATTGCTTGAGCCCAGGAGTTCAAGGCTGCAGTGAGCTACAATCGTGCCACTGTGTTCCAGTCTTCCAACCGAAGGAACGGAGCAAGACTTTGTCTCAAAAAAAAAAAAAAAAAAAACTTCAAAGCATTATATCAAATGTGTAAAAAGTGTGATGATAACTTTTTACAGCAATGCAATATCAAGAGCATCACCTAAATATTTGATCATTGACGTTAGCTCACGCATGTTCTAACAATCTGCAAAAACTCCATTCCTCTGTTCTTCCAACTTTCTCTTTTGCCCTCTATCTTATCTGAAATTGAGAAACATGTTGCACTCCTTCCTTAAGTGGACCTATTAATGAGATGGCTCCGTTGTCTGGGGAGTTACCCATGGTTCTTTGTCTTGTGCGGAGAAAGAATTCAGGATGCAGACACAAACGAGGAGTGGGTTTGGGGGTGGAAAGTTTAATAGACAAAAAAGAAGAGAGAGAAAGAAAGAAAGCTTCCTGGTGCCAGGAAAGCCGGTTGCCCAAGATAAGGTCTACGGTTTGGGGTGGAATGCAATCAATTTTGTACAGCAGTTTAAGGAGGCAGTGATTGATTTACATAGGGCCCAGGGGATTGATTTGACCAGGTGCGCCCTTTACATAGCCAGAGAAAAGACTGGCCCTCCCACCCTAATCTTTTATTATGCAAATGTGGCTTCTACCTGGCCGTGGCCAGGACACCTGCACACGTGGTTTTACCTGGACAGTTCCATGACACTCGCACACGTGGTGACAAGGGAAAGAGAGCAGAAAATGCCATATTGAATGTACCTGGCATTGACATATGAAAGCTCCTGGTTTGTATATCTATCTATGCTTGTGGCCTGATCTTTCAGGCTGCTTTCTGTTGGAGAAGAAATAGTTAGGGGGCTGCTTTTCAGTAAAGGAATATTCACCAAGAATTCTTTTACCCTTTCTAGCTGCCTAAAAATAATTTCTTAATAGCTCTTATATTATTAAGACCATTAAAAATAACACCAGACAAACAAATCTGACTCTCCAATTTACTTATTTAAAAAGTGGGATTGAACTTGTTTTTTATATTGCAAGAGCTCTAAGTATTCATTCTGAAGTTCAAACATTCTCAACAGAACTTTTTTCTTTGAACTATCTCAACATCCAATAATAATTATTATTTGTGATCAGCTGTCATGTTTTCACACAATAAAAAGAATAATCGTGAATTAAACACATTTTGCTATTTATACTATGTGACTTTAGTTTAGCTGACTTGTTTTCATAGCAAGCGTTTCTCCACGAAAGCAGTGGTGCAATATTTTACATTCTGGTACAACTGCTTAATCTGACAACTCCAGAATGTTTTCCTGTCATTGCAACTTCACCATCAGAACACGTCTACACAAAACCTAAAATCTAAACACTTTTCTGTAATTTTTCTCATGCAGTTCTTCCTACCTGTATACTATTCAGAACTTGTTGTGTTTGTTGGCAATAATGTTGTAATAAGGGATTCTCCACATCAACACAGTGTTCAAATTCTACTAAAAGAATTGCCATGTTAATAATATCTGCACATTTATCAAGTTGCAATAAACAATGCTTTGCTAGTTTAATTTGCTCTGTTCGTTTCCTGTAACATTAGCCAGTTCTTGAATCCTTTGCGCTACACGTCACTGGGACATGGTTCTTGAGCTACTAATTCTCTTTGTCTCAGATTCACTCAACATTTTAAAAAAACATCTTTGATGCAGTTTTCCACTAACAGGTAAGTGTGCGTGTACCTATATCTTTTTTCTTAGTGTTTCAATGTATTACTTTGTAAGATGTGCTTAAGGCACTCATGTCATATGTAAAGTATTAAATGTTTCTTCTGTCGGCTTTTATAATCCAATCTTGGCTCACTGCAAACTCCACCTCCTGGGTTCAAGAAATTTTCCTGCCTCAGCTTCCCAAGTAGCTGGGACTACAGGCATGCGCCACTACATCCAGCTAATTTTTTGTATTTTTTAGTAGAGACGGGTTTCACTCTATGTTAGTCAGACTAGTCTTCAACTCTCAAGTGATCTGCCTGCCTCAGAATAATCCTTCTCTTAAAGAATTATTTCAGTTTTAGCTCTTAATTCTTTATGGTTAATTGTAAATGCCATTAGGCTTTGATGATTTTATTGTTTCACTGACCAGGACATCTCTGCAAGTAACACATTGTGGTTTCAGCCTTTCACCATCAATCACAGCCAGAAACCCAAACTCACTATGTGAAAAATCACACTTCTGAGGGAAACTGAAGCTAACGTTTTTGGTCTTTACTTCTTCATATCATTATGTCATCATCACAAGCTTTACTGTTTCACTTCTACCGCTGTATGCAGAAAACCTGTGTCTTCACTTGACAAAATAGTCCAGGGACGCTTGTTTGCCAATCTGCAAATCAGAGTTTCAAATAATACAGATTTACTTCCGTGTTTTAGCACACTAAACCAGAAATTTTTAAAGATGACTTCATGAAAATGAATATAATAAATAACAATTCTAAAATAAAATAAATATTTAAGTTTTGTATTTTATACACTCATGGGATACATTTGGCAAAAATCACATGTCATGTGTGGTCCTGCTGTGCAGAGGCTTATCCTGAGGGCCTGACAACACTAAACTTGTTTATGCCCCGTTCCCTGAAACCCAGGGCTTGGAGAGCCCAACAGTGTCACCATATCACATGCTGCAGAGGTTTCTAAATGTTTACCCTCTGTTTATGTACTCAGCACAGACTGGAGTACTACCTCACTTTGGTAGTACACTCGAGACTCTGAGACTACCTCATGCTTACAATCCCAGCACTTTGGGAGGCTAATGTGGGAGGGCCACTTGAACCCAGGAGTTTAAGACCAGCTTGGGCAACATAGAGAGAACATGTCAAGACATGTTTAAAAACTTAAAAATTAGCTGGGTATAGTGCTATGCAGCTGTAGCCCCAGCTTCAGGGAGGCTGAGGTGGGAAGATCACCTGAGTCTGGAAAGGGCAAGGCTGCAGTGCAGTCTACGGCAGCGCACTCCATCTTCGGCAACAGAGACCCTGTCTTTAAAAAAATATGTTTTTTTTTTTTGAGACAGAGTTTCGCTCTTGTTACCCAGGCTGGAGTGCAATGGCGTGATCTCGGCTCACCGCAACCTCCGCCTCCCAGGTTCAGGCAATTCTCCTGCCTCAGCCTCCTGAGTAGCTGGGACTACAGGCACATGCCACCATGCCCAGCTAATTTTTTGTATTTTTAGTAGAGACAATCATTCTATAGAAAGATTAACAATAATAAAAACAAAACAATAAAACAAAACAAAAAAATAAAGCCATTCCATTTCTAAGGGCTAGTTCTAGAAAGCCAAGTATATGTACAGGCTGTCATCTGTCCACTCAGTTGAGAGACCCATTGCCCACAATCATCTTGCTATAATTTATCTGCTGCTCTTCCTTGAAGGTGTCCTTCATTTTTGCTCTCTTTAGCCCTCCATCCCAGGGAAGTTCAGTCAGGCCTCCTTGTATAGCAGTAGCAGACTTAACCCTGTTGGCAAACTGGACTGCATCTTCTCCTTCCTCTCTGGTCATGGGGGCATGTACCACACGTCACAGACGATGGCCCAGCTGGTCATCATTCACAGCAGGTAGCTGACCATGTTGTACTTTCTACTGTTCCAAAATGCATCACCAAACTGAGGGTTAGACTTAATTGCAACTGGATGTATGGTTCCTCCAATTTCAAAGCTCCCCTTTTTAAACAGCATGACTGAAGTATTGTTGATGCAGGTTCCTTCAGGAAAAATTAATATGGGTAATTTCTTCTTATCAGCAATATGTTCTTTTGGTCTCTTAGTAACCAGGTGTTGATATTTCATTTCTGAGCATTCAAACCAGACATGAGGACAAGGCTTGATCATAGCTCTCTGAGTAATTCCCATCAAGCCACCATGAACCTGGGCAACCATAGCATAACATCCATCTGTTGTCAAGATTAAAACATCAATTGGGGAAGTATGGTTGGCAACACAAATGCCTCCCTTCTGGGATCTGTACTGCTTGTTATGATAATGAATGGTACCAGAGAGGGCTCGAACACAGATCCGGTAGCAAGTCAGATGGACCAGTTCACTCAGCCAGTTTTTGAGGCCATATCTGGCAGCTTCCCAACCAGTGTAGTTCCTATAACCAGCAAACTGATACAAATGAAAGCCAAGGTAACCCTCAGAGGCAGTAGGACACAATAGCGCACTATGATGCCCAGCACCCACACCATAGTGAGTTGCTGTTTTCTTTTTTTCAGGATCCGAGGACACCTTTATTGTGCATGTGCCCCGCAGAGCAGCCTCAGGCATTCTGGCAGTAGCTGAAGTTGATGCGTAGCAGGAAGTCCTCCAGGTGAGGCTGGTAGCCGTGGTTCACCAGCTTGGTCACCACTTAGAAGAGAAAGTGGGAGTAGTACTTGAAGGTGTTGTAGGACTGCTGCATGAGTGCAAAGTTGGGGTGTCCTGCACCCCACGGGCCCCCAGCAGGAACCCAGGCCTGGGATATGAGCTGGCTGCGGAACTTGAGCACAAGGCTGAAGATGCTGTGGATGATGTTCATGACGGGCGCCGCCTTCTCGGTGAGCAGGGCCCTGAAGACGGCCTTGTGCAGGTACTCCGCATGCATGCGCTGGATCTCCTCCAGGTCGCCCATGGTGGCCAGCCTGGCCCCGAACTCACACCAGGTGACGTGCAGGATCTGGTTGGCAATGTAGCCCTGGATGACCCTCACAAAGTGCTGCATCTCGTGCTTGAACAGCTGCAGCTGGCAGAACTGCATGGAGCTGGACATGTGGCTCAGCAGGGCTGTGCGCTTGAGGTGGAAGCAGATGTCCTTGAGTGCCCACATCATGAGCTTCAGCTGCAGCAGGAAGAAGACGCCGCTGTACTTGCTCAGGCAGCCCTCAGTGATGAAGATGTTGAGGGGCCAGTCCACCTTGTACCTGAGCTCCAGGCAGCTCAGCACATCCGGGGCATTGGGGGCAAACACCTCCGGAAGGTACTTGAGGGCGAGGGAGAGGTTGGAGGAATGCGGGGTGTCCCCGTGCAGGCTGCACTGCAGAGCCTTGCTCAGCATGGAGTTCAGCACCAGCGGGTTGAGCAGCTCCCCAGGCATCTGCCAGGCCCCAAGCTTCTCAAAGAGTAGGTCGCTGAGGGACTGGGGGAACTCGCCGTCTTCCATCAGCAGGAAGTGCCCCAGTGCCTCATAGTGTGCCTCCAGGTGCAGCTCCACGAAGAAATAATCAACGGCGGCCTTGTTCACCAAGGAGATGTGGGCGCCCAGCGGCGCCGTGCTGGAGGGCTTCATCAGCACGGGCAGCGTCAGCAACTCACTCAGCTGCACAGCAGTCTTGTCTGTGGCAGACTGGACCTGGGGGTCCCCGGGGAAGGCGAAGGCCCAGGGAAACATGGGGCACAGAAGGTAACTGATGGGTGGCTCGGACATGGACTCCTAACTGTCCAGGTACCGCTCCAGGTGGTACTGCCCTGCCAGGCCTGCCAGGTAAACCTGCTCCCCGTCCCAGGCCTCCGCCACCTCCTCACCAGGTCCTGGGCTGCTCTGGGCAGCTGCGTCTTCCTGTGAGTTCAGAGGCCAATTTGGAGAGAGGTCCTCAGTGTCCGCATTCCTCCCAGGGCCTGGTTCTTCAGAGACGCTGTCTCCCAGGGTGTTGGGCCAGCATGGCCCAGTGGGAGCCACACCCGACGCATTCTCTCCCATGCTGGTGGTGTCGTCAGACACTTGTCCCTAGATGTTCCACTGTGGCCGGGAGGGAGCCATGTCCGACATGTTCTCTCCCATGCTGATGGTGTGGTTAGACACATGTCCCTTGATGTTCCACTGTGGCCAGGAGGGAGCCACGTCCAACATATTCTCTCCCATGCTGACACTCTCCTCCCCACAGCCTAAGCTGTTGGGGGGAGAGAGATGGTCCCACTTCTACAGGCAGCCATGGCCCACAGTCCAGAGCAGTGTTCTGTGCTCCCAGGCTGAGCGCTGACTGGGACGTGTGGCCAGGGAGGCTCTGTTGGGGCCTGGGTGTGTTGGGCTCAGTTTCTGGTGAGAGGGCCCCCAGCATCACATGGGGTGGATGGATAGGTCCATGGGTGTTCCACCATGGCCAGGTGGGAGCCATGTCCAACACACATCCCCAAGCTGATGCTGGCATTGGACACGTGCCTATGGGTGTTCCACTGTGGCCGGGTAGGAGCCACATCTGACACATTCTCCCCAATACTGATGCTGGCATCGGACACATGTCCATGGATGTTCAAACGTGGCTGGGTGGGAGCCACGTCCGACACGTTCTCCCCAACCCTGATGCTGGCATCACACACATGCCCATGGATGTTCCACCGTGGCTGGGTGGGAGCCATATCTGACATTTGCTCCCCGACCCTGGTGCTGGCATCGGACATGTGCCCATGGGTGTTCCACCATGGCTGAGCGGGAGCTATTCCAGAATTGTAGCCCCTTGTGGGAACACCACCCCCTGACACATGACCAAAAAGCTGCTCTGTGTGCTGGCTGCTCCCCTCCTCCAGGGCAGCACACCTGGGTGGGTGTGAGGGAGGCAGGGCCACTGCAAGGCAGAGACACAGGCATCCAGCTTCCCATGAGTGTCCTCCCACAGCTGCAGCCCTGAGCCGCCCAAGCTGCACTCTGCAGCCTGGAGGGGCCCTGGTGAAGATGAGGCGGCCACAGCCGGCCTCAGGACAGTACTAAAGTCGTACTCCTGTGGCTTGGAGGGCTGAGTGCTGGCTGCTGCGGGTGCCTCCCCAGGAGCTGAGGCGGGCAGGTCCGAGCTGATGGTCTGTAGCACTGCCTCCAAAAGAGGGATTGTGCCAGTCTGCACAGACTGCTCAGCCCCTGGGCCCACAGGTAGGAAGTCTCCAATGCTGAGGCCATCAGAGAAGGGCCCAGGCTCTTCTGCCTGCTGCAGCCCTGTGCCACCAGCTCCCACTGCTAGAGGCTTAAGGGGCTGTGGGGTCCGCAGGTCTGGCCTGTTTGGACAATCACAGGAAGCTGAGTGTTGCTCTGCAGTCCCAGAATCACAGCCTTGGCCTCCGTCTGGGTGCTCAGGGCCAGATGTGACCTGGGAGTGTGGGCTCAACAGAAAGTCTGATGGCTCCTGGGGCTGGTGAGCCTCAGTCATCGCTTTCAGCATCTCCCGAATGTGTTTCTCATCTTCTAAGAGAAAGCGAAGCCGTGCACTCTCCAGTCGGTGCCTCTGGATTCTCCACAGCGCCTTCTGCTCCCGACAAGCTGCCTCTGCAGAGAGCTTGCTATAGTGGTTGACCAGCGCCTGCCTCGCCTTCCTCTCCAGCTCCTCCTCCAGGGACTTCAGCCTCCTCTCCCTGTCTCGGAGCCCACGGGCATAGCTGAAGTCATCATCCAGCTCCTCCTGCCTGGCCGCCTGGCGTCGCTCCTGGTCCTTCACAAACTGTTCCTTCAGCCTCTGAAACTGCTCGCACTTCCAGTCATCCAAGGCCATCCGCTCTGACATCTGCGGCTCACTAAGTGCACTCAGGACCCTGGAGGCTGCTTCCTGGGCATGAGCGATTAATTCCTGTTTTGCAATTTCCATACGTAATTCCTTCTCCTCCTTGCTGACAGAGCTGTGGCGGGCCACTCTCTCCATGCGCCCAACATAGACGGCACAGTCCTTCTCAATCTCCTTCAGCTCCTCCAGGGAGAAAATCACTGAGATCCAGGGGACGGGGACGTCGGACCAACAGAGGTAATGCCGGAGACAGCAGAGCTTCAGCAGGTTGATGGTCTTCCTGCAGACGTACACGTCATGGGCAATGTGCTTCAGAAACACAGGAGATGAGCACGTAGCCATGGGTCCAGTATGACTTATCTTGGAAGCTGAGGTACTCCTGGTTCACCTGAATCATGAACTTGCCATAGTGAACACCCCACTGTACACCCAGTCATGGATGAAGCGCGTGTAGGGCTCACAGCTGGTCTTCAGCAGGGACAGCAGCACAGGGTAGTGTTCATTGCTGCAGTTATGCAGCGCTTCCTGGTAGAGGTAGGACAGCAGCTTCATGCCAGTGGGAAACTCGGCCCTGGGCCCTCCTCCGCAGGTGCCTGGGAGTGCAGCACCAACACCACAGAGCTCGGCCAGGTACCTGAGCTGCCGGCCCAGTTTCTTGAAGAGAAAACCAAGGGTGAGGAGGCTCAGGGTGGGCAGAGTGGCGAGGAGTCAGGCCCAGTAATACTGCAGGTACCTCCTCAGGCCACTGGTGAAGGCCTGGAACACAAGGCCCTTGCTGTACGAGGAGTCCAGGATGGGCTGCAGAGAGAAGTGGCTCAGGTACATGTAGCAGGTCCCATACTCGGCCACCTCCAAGAGGAGGCTGCTGACGCTCTTGGGAGACACTCCTGACACATGGATGCCCCGCTTTACCACAAAGGCCTGAGCCAGCTGGCAGAGGGAAAACATGGCAGACACAACCCCAATCAAGACGTTCAGCACATCCTTCACCAGCTCGCACTCCTTCACCAGCACGGGCTGTGGGGCCTGCAGGATGCCCCCTGCAAGCAGCTGTAGCTCCCTGTGATGAAGCCTGCAGAACTTGTGGAAAGCCTCCCTTCCTGCCTCTGTCAGGTGAGGCTCCTCTCTGTGACCAGGCAGGCATCCAGCTCACTCCCAGCACCTCTTCTTGCTGGCCTCGTAGGTGAGTGCGGCTTCCCACAGGTCCATGTCTGGGGTCACGCTGGGCTCAGACTGGGAATCAGGAGTCAGGTTGGATGCTGACTAGAATCCTTCATCTTCCCACTGATCTATACTCTGTGGGACCTTAATGGCCAGCCCAGAGTTGTCCGCATTGTCCGGCATGGGGGGCAAGTCCAGTCGGACATCCATGCCGTAGGCGGAGCTGTGTACAAGCACACCAAAGAGTGAGACTCGGGTGTCTGTCTTGAACTTGTCCCCACAAGGGTCACCAAATGAGAAGAGCCAGACGGTGGGCAGGCAGGAGCCTGAAGTAGCCTCCATAACCTGAAGTGTATCCTGGATCATGTTGTGACACAAATACTCCTCTCTGGAGATCTCTCTCCAACACACTCAGGTTGTAGCAATCATAGCCGCCTTATGGAACGTTTCTCCCCACATGCTTGTTGTTAAGGAAGTAATCTTGTTTTCTCGGCAGCACTTGAGGGGGACCGCTCCCTGCCAGCTGAATCAGGAGTTCCAAAACAGACCCCACCTCCACAAGCGGACAGCAAGGGGCTGTCATCGACTGACCTGCTTGGTAGTGTCTGAGGTACACTTTGGGGGCTGCGCACAGCCAGCCATGCGGACACTGGCGGTCTGAATCCCACGGCCGTGTGGGCCAAGTAGGAGGCCATCTCCCCAGGCACGTGGCTTCAGGGTGTTTCCCATTGACTAGTTTGACCCTGGTTTGAATAAAGAGAAGTGCGTTTGGATTAGAAAAAAAAAAAAAAATTACCACGCCTGGCCTAAAAATAAAAATACCATCCTGTTCTTAAAAGATTTTAACCGAAAGTCACCTTTTTTTCATACGTCTTACAAAACTTATGATCTGGAGGGGGTCTATAATTACATATTTCCATGAAAAGTGTTCACTAGTAAAACAAGAGGAGAAACCTTGTCACAGGGGATCTTACAATGTAAAGATTAGATTTGTCAAGGTGGACTCTCCCCTTCTGCAGGAAGGATCAGAGCCCTGCAGCATCCTGTTCTTCCACCCTAGCCAGGTATTGGGCCCTTTCAAATGCAGAACTCCCTCCCTGCTACTCCAAAACATGTTCCAAGATATAGATACTATGACAGCCTTTAGAATGTGCAGGAAAAAAAAGCAAAAAAATACTTTTCCAAAGATGTCATTGCAAAGTCATTTCACATAGAATTTGCAGTCGAATTTTTTCAAAAAGAGTGTAGTGAATATATGGTAGTATAAGGAATGTGTATTAATTTCTTTTTATACAAGAGGAAATAAGACATAGAGAAGTAAGATGATGAGCCTATGGTGATATAAATATTTAGAAACAATCTACAAGTCAGATTGGGAAAAAAAGCTCTGCTGACTATCATAACAAAATTATTACAAAGTGTTTTAACTTATTTTACAGGTAACCATCCACATACATGTTACCATACTTGAATGTTTCTTGGAACATGTGGCTGAGAAGCGATTGGAACATGTGGCTGAGAAGCGACTGGAACATGTGATTCTAAGTTTCTTTTTATAACTTGTATCTTTCATTCCAGTGCTGTACGAAGTGACACATCTCAGCCTCTAGTACATTGTTATTTGTAACTGAAAAAAAAACAGTACTGCTTATCAGATTATCTGGAATTAACTATCAGTTCCTTTAAAAATCTCTAAATTAAATGACAGAGTGCCAGGAATTCTCATTTACTTATTTTATTGGTATCCTTAAAGATATTTATTGCTAGATGAACAGTAGATACTTAGTGCTTTGTTTGAAATGCCAGACCACACTCTCAGACCAATCTTGAAATGCAAGATTAATTTTTTTTTTTAGTCTTAGAGAACTATGACCCAGATGACATTGGGTACCATATATATTTTTAACATTTATTTTATTTTTAATAGAAAAACCATAAAGTTGAATACCATATATGTTTTAAACTTACATTATGTTTTAATGTAAAATATATAGCTCTAAAATCTAGATAACTCCTTAAAATTTTTGAAATACATATATATGCATATTTTTCAAAAACATGGTGCATAAAGAGAAAGAAACATTTTCCATTGAAGAGATCTAGAAACGGTGACCCACTCAGAAGAAACAATGAAATAAGCACACCTAAGGCCAGATTATTTTCTGATTACTATTTCCCACTAAAGAAACCAGAGTTCCTTGGAGAAACAGCTGGTTTCAAATCCAGCATAGAAAATGTACCCAAAGAACTTATAATATCTTGTCATTCCAGAATGCAAGGAAGCTCTCAAAGACTTCCAGGGTTATGTCAAAAAAATATCAGCACCCAAATTTCAGGAGCTTCTACTTCCCATCCCAGGCTGCAGTGTGTGTTGTTCTCTTCCCTGTGTCCATGTGTTCTCATTGTTCAGCTCCTACTTATAAGTGAGAACATTCAGTGTCTGTTTTTCTGTTCCTATGTTAGTTTGCTGAGGATAATGTCTTCCAGCTCCATCCGTGTTCTTGCAAAGGATATGATCTTGTTCCTTTTTATGGTGAAAAGATAAAGTTAAAAAGATAAAGGAGAACGTCTATGTTGAAAGACACTGATGAGAGATATAAACCAATAAGAATGTATGGACCTTATTTGAATTCTGATTCTGACTCAAGCAAACAAAAGTAAAAAGTTATAAGACAGTCTGAGAATTATGAACTGACTGGAGATGTGTATATATATGTGTGTGTGTGTGTGTGTGTATGTATATATATATACATACATACACACAAATATTTGAGATGGAATCTCAATTTATGAACTGACTGGAGATACATGTTATTTATATATATTTGAGATGGAGTCTCACTCTGTTGGCCAGGCTGAAGTGCAGTGGCATGATCTCAGCTCACTGCAACATCCACCTCCCAGGTTCAAGCGATTCTCCTGCCTCAGCCTCCTGAATAGCTGGGACTATAGGTGCGCACCACCACAATGAGTTAATTTTTTTTTTTCATTTTTAGTAGAGACAGGATTTCACCATGTTAGCCAGGATGGTCTCGATCTCCTGACCTCCTCGAGCTCCCAAAGTGCTGGGATTACAGGAGTGAGCCACCGCACCCAGCCAAACTGACTGGATATTTGATGGCATCATGTGACTTTTTTTTTTCATGTGACGAAGGTGTGGTGTTTTCTTTTTAAAGAATTCCTTACCCTTTGGGGATACATGTTGAGTTATTCACAGATGAAACAATTTGATATCTGAGATGTCTGTTGAAAAGGGCAGAGGAGGGAAAAGTGAGAAACAAGATAGGCTGTGAGTTGAAGCTGGGAGATGGACACATGGCGCTTTGTTATTGCTCTCCTCTGCTTTGGCTATGCCTGCCTGAAATCTTGTATAATAAGGGACTTTATAAAGAAAAAAAATCCTTTTAAAAAGAGTACAATTTCACTTCTACTGACCACTTCTTGTCTACACAAGTAGTTGCATCAATTTCTTTTCCTAATACATTTTGAGACTCTTTTATTAATTGCATACCTGCTTAGAATTTAGTATGTTCGTGATGAGTTGAACCTTGTATCATTGTGACTAATGATGCTTATTGCCTTAGGATCTATTTTATCTGCTATTAATATAGCCATCATAGCTTTATTTTTGTTAGTACTTACCTGATATGTCTTTTTTTCATCTTTTTATTGTTAACTTATATCTGTTTTCATAATTTAGGTGTATCTTTTTTAAAGAACTTATAGTTGGATTGAATTATTTTACAACCTATATTCAGTGATTAACTGGTAAGTTTAGTCTTCTTACATTTATTAAAATTTCTTATACATTTAAACTGATTTCTGTCCTCTTAACTATAGTGTTTCATTTTGTTGCCCCTTTACTCTTTTTTTCTCACTTTTGAGTTGATACCTACATCTTTTTCTTACCAAGATAAGAACTATTCACTAGTTTCTTTTGTTTGTCTTCTTACTACTTTTAGAATTTATTGTTTGTTTTTCCCCCAGCTTTTTAAGTTAGATGTTTAGCACATTGTTTTTTAGTTTTTATTCTTTTTTAATATAAGCATTTAAAGTTACTATTTTCTGTAAAATATAGCTTTAGAAGCATCCTATATATTTTTTTAATTTTTAATTTTTAAGTATCTTTTTATATATGTATATCATCAGAATGGCCTTTAAAGTATCTTTAAGTTGACACATATTTAAAAGCAGCCCTAATGAGGTATAATTGCAACACAATAAGATGCATATATTTGAAGTATATAGGCTGGGTGCAGTGTTTCCCGTCTGTAATCCCAATATTTTGGGAGGCTGAGGCAGATGGATCACTTGAGCTCAGGAATTGGAGACCAGCCTGGGCAACACAGCGAAACCCCATCTCTATAAAAAATGGCTTTTGTAATAAAAAGCTTATACTATGGGAAGTTCTGACACATAAATACACCCATGAGATCATCGTTATAATCAAGATAACAAATATATGCATCACCCCTAAAAGTTTCCTCATGGATCTTTGTAATTCCTCTTCCAGTCCCCATACGACCACTGATCTGTAGTGTAGATTTTATCAGTGTAGATTCACTCATACTTTCAAGATTATTATTATTATTATTGAGACAGGGTCTCACTCCTGTAGCCTAGGCTGCAGTGGCACAATCACGGCTCACTGCAGCCTTGACCTCCCAGGTTCAGGTGATCCTCCCACCTCAGCCTCCTGAGTAGCTGAGACTACAGGAATGCGCCATCATGCCTGGTTAATTTTTTGTATTTTTAGTGGAGAAGGGGTTTCACCATCTTGCCCAGGATGGTCTCGAACTCCCGGACTCAAGCAATCTGCCCACTTCAGCCTCTCAAAGTGCTGGGATTACAGGCGTGCACCACCACAGCCAGCCTAAGATTTTTGTATAAATAGAATAATTTATATATATCTACTCTCCCTTGCTGTGTTATTTCACTCAGCATAATTATTTTGGATTTCATCCATGTTGTTTGATACATTAATAATTCATTGCTTTTTATTTCTGAATAGTTTTCAATTGTGTAGATAAATCATAATATGTTCATTCACCCATTGATAGATATTTGAATTATTTCTAGTTTGGGGCTATTACAAATAAAGCTGCTATAAACATTCATGTAGAAGTGTTTGAATGGACATATGCTTTTATTTCTTGATAAATACCTAGAAGTGGGATGTCTGGTTAATATGATAAGCATACAGTTAACATTTTAAGAAACTGCCACACCACAGTCCAAAGTGGCTGCACCATGGTACACTCCCACTAGCAGTGTGTGGAAGTTCTGCATGCCCCCTGTATTTGCCAGCACTCAGCATGGTCAGCCTTTTTAATCATAGACATTCTAGTAGGTGCACAGTACTAGCTGCTTGGGGTTTCATTTGCATTTCCCAATGACTCATAATGCTGAGCATCTTTTCATGTGCTTATTTGCCATCAGTATAACTTCTCTACTGAAGTGACTGTTCAAATCTTCCACTCACTTTTTAATTCAGTTATGTATTTTCTTATTGAGTTCTTAGATCATATTTTTGGATCATATTTTATCAGCTATGTGATATGCAAATATTTCCTCCTAGTGTGCAGCGTGTCTTAGCAGTGTCTTTTAAAAGCAGAAGTTCTTAATTTGATCTGATTTATTGATTTATCAGTGCCCTAGAAGTCCTTTTAAGTTGAGATTTGTTTTATGGCTCTAAGATGTTCTATATTGGTAAATGTCCCATATGTACTTGAAAATAATGTGTATTCTGAAGATAACTGAATAGGACAACTCTGGAGTGCCATTCCCAAAGACAACAATGCAGAGGATGAGTGATCACTGCATTTCCAAATGAGTTTTTACTGCCCACAGATCAGGAGATTTCTGGGCTGAAAAGTGCCACAAGTTTCCAGCACAGCTGTTTCAGATGGACCCAGGGGTCTCTGCATAAAAACTCACACAAATCTGGGTGGCTATTTCAACTGGCACCTGGAATGCCTGGGAGACAGAGCTGCCCACTCAACTGAAAAAAAGGGGGCTGAAACAGGTAGCCAGGTGATCTGGCTCAGCGGGTCCCACCCCAACAAAGACCAGCAATCTGAAACGATCT